GAGCAAAAGAAAAAAGTAAAAGTAACAAGAACAAAGAAAATTCAATACTTATATAATTAATCAATAACACAACATAGCTCTATAAAAAAAAGAAAATAATGGAAACTGATTAGTGAAAAAAAAAAAAATAATGTAAACAAAAAAAAATAATACTTATATGCTGATCTGATTTGTGTAACTGATACAAATGCTATAGATGATATTTAATAAAATCATCTAGGATGATCTTTATAAAATCTCATAAAACAATAAGCCTTTAAAGAAAATCTCTTTAAAACAGCAACTACTAGACAAAGAACAAATAAACAATACTTCTTACAACTCTCTACTTGTAAGATACATAGGTTCTATAGACTTGTCAACTCTGCCTCAGGAAACATTTCAAGATAATATACAAACTATTGATAGCAATAAGACAACAGACAAATGCAATCTTTGAAACAACAGACCTCTACCACCAATGGACAACAAAGTGAGTTTTTTTACCTACCCTTTAGCCTACTTTTCCTAAAAGACAACTAGTCTCAAGGCCACAACAACACCAAACATACAACCAAAAGAATCAACAGAATACACTAAGGAATTTATTAGTATTACTAGACAAAATTTACTTTTATTGTGTTCTTCATTATTCTCAACTTTACCAACAAATAAGTATTTACTACTAACCTTACCAGGTTAGGATGCATTCTAAATTTAGTCAAATTCTCTGCACAATAGATATGCAAACACAACAAGGCTACCTAATTAATCTTATTTGATCTTACAAATTTAAAATATAACTCTGTAAATATTAATGCCAAGCTACCCAGAAGTACTCGTAGTTGTAATTTAAAGATAATAATTAAGACTTACAAAAATACACAAAAGTTCTATGTGGTACTAAAATATTCAAAAAACTTACTATTTGTTCTATATTTTTGTAAAGATTCATATGCGCTAATTTTGTTTGAACCCCAAAATTTAGTATGTTCAGTAATGTTAGTCAGATCATTTAATTTATATACGATCACTAAAACTTTCACTAAATAAAACAATATATATTTATTAAAATCGAATTAAATAAAAATATAATATATTTTTTTACCTTTTTGTATAAGTATATTTATAACTATGTCACAAAGCAAGTACAAATCTATATATAATTATAAACATAATTATCCTCAAAGTAAAATAATTAAATGTAAAGCAAGATTGTATATATTTATATACAATATTCTTGAAGAAGGAATTTATTTGTCAACAGCTATTCTAAAATAAACTGCAAAGTCTAAATAATATAAAATACCTGACAAATATAAAATTAAAACTATATGAGGTAAAGTTAATAAAGAAATTTCAGTAATTGCTTCGATTAATTATGTTAATCAAAAGCCTATTTACAAAATTTAATGGATTGACAATATAACCTATCAAGAAAAGAAAATTAAATTGAATAAATCAACATCTAATATAGCATCCTTATTTACAAATGGTAATTTATATTTAATTTTATATTTAATTATATTAATATTTAAATTTAAAATTTAGTTTAATTAAATTTTATTAGAAATATCATAAAGGCAAAAAAACTGAATATTCTGGTCCTGAAATATTTGGTTTGCAATTGGAGTTTGTTGAAAAGAAGCAAATTAAAAAGCTATATCCTAGAGTATTACAACCAATTGATAATTTAAGCTAGTCAGCTCAAAGAGATTGGGCTAATAAAATTGCTAAATTAGAATATCAAACTTTTAAAAAAAATGCGAAAGTCTTTATCATTCAGATGATAATCCTACTTTACAATCTTTAATATATGAAGTATCAAATCAAACTTGAATTATTGATTTTAATTCTAAAAATAAAGAAAAAAATGAACAACAGGCTGAACAAATGGTTTATACACTTGATCAAGGAAATATATCAAGGGAGTCTTATTGATCTTTAGTATCTATTTCATTTGACTTATCTAGAGAATATATAGTTGCTACTACTAGATATTAAATTGATAATATAATAAAAATAAAAGTTTTAATACATATTCTCAATATTAATAATTTAAGTTTAGAGACAAATAATTTAAATGACGATAATGAAATACATATTAACGATTTAGAAATTATTGAGAATCTTAAAAATTCAGTTGGTAAATATGGATATAGAAATATTAAACAAATGTTATTATTTCTAATTCCAGTTTAGATTTCTAAAAATATTTTAACTAATCAAGATTCAACAATTTATATTTGAATTTCTAGAGATAGCAGGAATATTGAAAATAAAATTAAACAAGTGATGATAACTTTTACTATTCTTAATAATAATAATAATATATACCAACCTGATAATCATTATACATTAGCATTATATCCAGAAACAGAACATTATGAAACACTTAAAATTAGTTTAGCACTATTAATTTATGATCTTACAGATTTAAAAAATAATAGAATCAAAGATAATTCTGAAAAATCTTGAAATATAGATCTATATTTTAGTTCAGATTAGAAGTTTTTAGTAATTTCTTTAGGTTTTAATGCGGCAAACTCAAAATTCTTTTACCCTTGGTGTAATTGTTCAAAAAAGATTTAGATAATAAAGAAAAACAATAGACAATTAATAAATCAATGGACCAAATTGTTAATGATCTTACTACTTATCCTGAACATACTAAATTGCCCTTATTTCCAATAATTCTAATAACTCACTGGGTTGTTGATAAATTGCATATTCTATTCTGAATTTGTGATCAACTTTGGGGCTTGTATTATAAGAATATAAAAAAATTAAAAATTTTAATGATGATATGTAATAAAATACATAATTTTGAAGTAAAATTCAATTTCTGGCAAGATTCTGTATCGAAAACTTGGAATCATACAGTATTAATAGGAGACGATAAATTACTTGTTTTAGAAAAATTTAATTTGGCTATTATGTTAACTTATATATGTGCAATACAAATACGCAAACTGTGGACAAACTTTTATTAGCTTTATATAGCTTTCAAGGATCCTACAACAAATTCAAATATATTTGCTAATGCTGCAAAAGCATAGCTTGATTTATTTTTAATACCATCAGATAATAAAAATCAAGGCTTTTATAGGCCAGTAAATGTAATTCCTTATATATATATTTTAGTATTTCATGTTTCAGAATTTATACGAATTCATTAAAACTTTGAAATAAGGGCATTTTCTTGTAGTGGGGTAGAAAAAAAAAATCAAAAACATGTTTGTTATTTTTTTTCTAAAACTATGAAAGATAGTGACAAAGCATATTTGGCAATTTTAAAAATTTTATTATATGAAAATAGATTATTATATTTTCAAAAGCATAAAATTTCTACTTCAACACATTGACCAAAAAGACTTCATTACAAAATAAATAAATAAATAAATCAAATACAATAGAACTTTAAGCAAATACTATAATTGTAATTAGTATTAAATATAAGAATTTTATTACAATTATTATAATATTATATATTTAAAAATAATACACTTGATCTAAATGAAATCTAATTCTTATTTGTCCATCTAAGGTTTGATGTCCTTTTGTATCTTTAATGCTTTCTTGAAACCACTCTATGGTTATTTCTGGTGGTACTATTTTAATAGGTTTAAAATTTGAAATATTGTAAGATTCAAGTGATTGATCTTTATTTTCTTATAAATATAATTGTACATAGCTTTTTTGATTTTTTTTATAATATTGAGTTCCCCATTGTTTATCACCAAGTAAAATTTCTAACATAGATTCTGCTTCATAACCTTTAAAAACACACCAATATGCTCGTTTTGCTGGTGAAAATCTACTCAATTGACTTCCAAACTCTGCTACGGTATATGGAAACTTGATAAGTTGCTTGCCTAATTTGGTATAGTAAAGAGGAAGCCGTTTGTGTATTTCATTTACTAGTATTCATTTGAATTGCTCAACGTGTTGCAAAGGTAAAGAAATGATATCGGCAGGAGGTTGATTATAGGAATGGTGAGCCAAATTTTCATGACAAATAAGACCTTGAGAAGTTTTGTAACACTTTTCATTACAAATAGTATGCAGATATTGACGTTGAACCAAGGAAGGCTTCTGTGTCATTACAACAGTTGTTGCTTCGAACATTTGATCTTGAAATCTGTAACTCAATAAAATCAAGTCTAATTGCTTATTAATCAAATTTACATCAAATTTCAAGTTTTTTATTCACTATTAGAATACTACGTATACCTTATACTAGCTAATACTCATTGGTTCGGAGGTTGGCTCATTGGTTTGACGTAATAAAGTAGTTTGTTTGTTGTTGGCGAACAATTTTTTTAGGGTCAGTCATTGTTTGCCGATTATCGTCATTGTTTGCCTGATTATCTCTAATTTAAAAATAGTGTGCTTTTTTGGTCGTACAATAAGAAATCATTTTTTAAAAAAAGGTCCAAAAAACGAAATCAGCCGATATGTTATTTTAAAAATTTTTGTACAAACTAAAGACTCCAAACATGTTGGGAAGTATTTAATCAAAAATTTTCAAAAATTTAATAATGTTGAAATCACCTTAACCGAATCGGCAGAAAACTCATTCATGTAGGGCATTGTATAATCAACAAAAAAAAAAGCCAACGTTTCTTGATAACATTATCAGTTGAAAACAATATCAATTAGATACATCCCATCACACCCTCAGATTGCAATGTATTTTTAATAGAAATTTTACATTACTTACAGTATATGCGGTTATCTAAATATGTATATACTGTTTGCAAAAGGGTGTTTATACTGTAAATCTGAACACCTTTCTGTATACTGTAACTATTTACATTCCATGTTTATTAAATTAAGCCAATAGTGCTTATCACTCAAACAACTAAACAATTGGTAATTAATATACTAAGCAATAACTTCAAAATCCATATGTAATTCTAATTATAGCTCTAGATAGATGATAATAACAAAAATTTCTCTAAAATACTTGTGCAAACATCACTGGTTGATTTATTCTTCTACTTATGCATGTACATATGATCAATTAATAGGTCAAGTTACAAAAACAGAAACTTATTTCAGATATTTATAATTTATTTTATTTGATGAGAAAAGGATTACTTTTATTTTATGGAGTTATATTTGATGATTATGATAATAAACATGATACAAGAAATTTTACAATCTTTAACATATCATTGAAAATACACCCTTGTTGACAATACCCCTTTGATTAATAACGAATATTTACCGAATTTGTTACTTGTGTATTTTGAAAAAGATCAGGGCATGTTAAACTGAATTTATAAACATGACATATAAAACAAATCGGTTTCATCATATATGACTTTGGTGCAAGACCTGAACAGTATATCCAGGGATATAAGTCAAAAAAACCAGTGTAGATTGTAAAAGACTCTCCATGACGAAATATGATATTAGTCAAAGTTTGGGTGTTCAACAGGTTTGCTTACTAAAACAAGCACAAAAGTTAATAAGTATGAAAAAATAATACTTTAAAGCCAATATTTTGATTAAGTAACATGCTAACCTGAATTAGCATTTATTGGTTTAGGAAGATTTCGATAAAGACCGACTTGTATAAATAGCTTGTTTATGTGTTTGATAGTTGAGTCGTATTGATGTGACTTGATTTGAATTTTTGCCCGAGTCTTTAATTTTTTTAACTTGCTTATATAATTCTGTTTCTTCATTTTTCAAATCGTCAAAAAATTGATTTAACGCATCAACTAATTCATTAGCAGTTGGTCGGTTTTGAGGTTCAGCATCCAAGCATTTATTCATTAAACCCAAAAGTAGTTGAGGAACCTCACATTTAATTTCAGGTACAAGACCTTTGCTGAGTTTAAGAAATAATTTGGTATCATGTGGGATATCATGATATGGAGGATGTCCAGTAGAAACTTCTGACATAATAATGCCAAAAGAATAAATGTCTGATTCCTGAGTATATACTATTTTATCGCATTTCCATGATGCTTTTAACAATTCTGGAGCAATATAGGGAAGTACTCCAAAAAGCTCCTCAGAATCTGAATCGTGTGAAACTGGCCTACATAATCCGAAATCAGTAATGTAGGAACTATACATATTTTGATTAACTATATCGGAATGAAAATCTTTATGCACTAAATTAGCTTTGTGAATTGTATTAAGCCCATCAGCTATGTAATATAAGATAGCAACTTTAAAATTCCAATCTAAATCGTTATATTTGCTATCTAATAATTTTCGGAGACTTCCCTGCTTTGCGAATTCCATCACCATCATATAATTATCATCATTTGGGTTCTTAGTTATTCCATAAATTTTAATTGCTGAATTACCTCCATGTTTATGTTGATTTTTAATCTAAATATAAATTAGGATAAATAGAACTTGAATAATAACAAAATAACAATAAATTATACAATATATACTTCATTTAAAAATTCTTGTTTTATATTCTTAGAGTTATCAAGGCCTTTTAAACAAACATTTGTTTGTCCATTTCGTTCCCACACATTCTTTTGGTAATCACAATTGCAAATATATCCGTTAGTCCATACTGCCTTAAAAACAGTGCCAAAGCCTCCTTTAGCAAGATACTTTATATCGGTAAATTTATTAAAAGGTATCCATTTGATAATGTCTTTAAATTCATCAATGTCAAGATTGCCACTTGTCCAATTATTAAATTCCTTTTGAAATCTTAACATTGAATAATAAGTATAATGATTCATTGAGTGCTACATTAAAAAAAAAGTCGTATGTAAATAACTTACCGACTATAAAGGTGACAAAAAGTATATGAATTTGTTAGAATTAATGTTCGATAGGGCATTTATTTGTACCATTATTTACTGTAAAAAAAAAAAGTCGTATGTAAAGAACTTACCGACTATAAAGGTGACAAAAAGTATATGGATTAGTTAGAATTAACGTTCGATAGGGCATTTATTTGTACATTATTTACTG